TTCCCAGAATTCCCCAGCCAGCCATGCTGGCTGGGGAATTCTGGGAATTCAAGTCCACCCATCTTAAAGTTGCCAAGGTTGAGAAACACTGCAATAGACCTACTGAAAGGGAGGGAAGATAACCTGTGACCCCAGGCAGCTCTTGGAGCCTCTTCTGACCAAGACTTGTTGAAAAGTGATGCTACACTTTCTGGCCATTTTGAGATGTGAAATGAATGAAAACTAATGTAAGCCCTAAAATAAACATCACAGTTAAAAAAAAAAAAGGGGACCCACAAACATTTCCCCCAAACTTAGGAGTGGCCCTCTTCATTTAGCAGCCATTAGCCCTAAAAAACAATTAGGTTAGGCCCCTGGCCACAAAAAGATGGTCCATTCCTGCTCTAGAATCATACAAGTTATTGCATTCGCCTGTAATGGTCCGGTAAGGGCTCGTCTCATCACACGACTGGGTAGATGCATCTTGGAGAGCACATCCGCTTGCCTTGTAGATGATTTGTATCTGGGAAGGAGAGAGCACATCTGCAGGAAAACAAGAGGATGCAGACTTCAGGGCCGGAAAAGGAAGAGAGAAATTCAAGACTATGTCATTTGCTTTTTGAATTATACTTCGAAAACCTAAAGCAGGGTTTATGTTTTGTAAGATTGAGGAAATTCAAAAGGTGAAGCACTTTCCTTTTTGAGAGGTGCTGGACAGCTATTAAATACCATTCATAGCAGCTCCAGCAAGTCACCCTACAGTAATCAGTAACTTACGTAGTGGTTGCATTCATGAAACGTGCTAAGCTTGGTTAGTTTTAACTTTGGTTAATTTTTTGTGGCTTAGCATGTCATGTGCAGCCAGCTCTTTTAGTTGCTTTGGGAGTCAAGGTACTGCACAAACTCAGAAAATGGGTTGACTAGTAACCAACTTAAGCACGTTGTTCAGTTTCAGCCATTTTGAAGTCCAGGTCAATCTCCTCCACAATGTAACCTCTGCAAAGCAGAACGCAACCGTAGCATCTCTGAAGCGTGGCTGCTTGGGTAGTCCTTAAATGACTTCAAGGTAGAAGAGCCACCACTTCCCGTGACAAGATGTCCCACTGATTAGCAGCTCTGACCATTTTTTTCATAGCATTTAGCCCCCAACCTCTTTCTCTTTAATTTCTACCCATTGATCTGAGATCTACCCCTGAGAGCAATTAAGAAAACTCTGCTGTAGCCTCCCCTACCAATTTGAAGAACTTCTTTTCCCGAAACTTAAACATACCCCTTTCTTGGATAATGTTAATAAATAGGGGTTAATTTCTAACTTCCAACCACCTTAACCATTCCTCTCTGGATCATCTCCAGCTTCCCAATGTCCTTCTTAACATGTGATGCTCATATATGCTTTGGTTAAAGCATTCTAAAAAGTAATCTTGATATAATTGTAGATGTATCCGTATTAAGGTTTCTTTCTGCCATACCTTGCAGAGTTTTAATTCGATCTCATGTGTTATTAGACCAATTAATTACAGTCTCTTATCAATGCCCAATGAGTAACATCAGAGGGAAAACCAGATCCAAATGAACCCAAACTGCAGCAAACTCTGCCAGTGTAACACCTCATAAAACTATTGAAAATGGTAAAATAAACGGGGCTTGTGGAAGAGTGAATTCACCACCTGGAGCGAGCAGGCAATTTTTTCCTCCTGGGATCCAGAGTCTTGGTGTTACCTGGGAAGGAGGGTTAAAACAGCCCCACCCTCTCCTTAATTGGAAAGCTTGTTTTATAAGAAGGGCACGGAAAACAAGCACGTGTGTGGGTGTGTCAAGAAAGGAGTTGTGCCAGATAGACGGCAGAGGCTTGGGAAAGAGAAACCTCTCAAGGACCTCAGCAATAATCTTCAGACAGCAAGAGAAAACTTCAGTTCTAGAAGCTGCAAGGCCGCTGAGAGGCAGAGCTGAGACAGAGGAGGGGAAGACCCCAACCGGAGTCTGCAAATGGAAGCAAGCCCACTGCATGCAGCAACCTGGGGGCAGAGCTCGCCAAGCCAGCTCCAGAAACGGAGGACTGTGAGTGCCAGGGGTGGGTGGGGAGAGAAAAGCCCATTTGCGAGTCTGTGAAGGAGTGAAAAGGATGTTCACATACCAATGGAGTGAGATTGGCTATAAGAGCTGAAGCCCTGGGGGAAAAGAGCTAAGAAACACTTAAGAAAACGTAGTGCTACAAACATGGGAATAGGAATAAGAACATAGAAATAGAAATTTTTAGATTAAGTAGGAATAGAAATAGGTAGAAATAGTAGAATAAGATAGGAATTTAATTTTGTACAATAAAATAGTTTTATGTGAGAAAAACACGTACAGTCTTTGTGTCTGTGTAACAGGGCTTCCTGACGCACAGGAAGAGATTTGAGAAGAATGACTGTCAAAAGCATTCTCTGAAAAGGTTTTAAAATAATAGCCCAACACATCATCATCCATGTCTGCTTTGTTTGTTTGACCCACCCAACCATCAACTGATGTTTAACATAACATGGTTAAATTCTCAGATAAAAGAACATTTCTCTTCTGCTTCCTCTTTGAAAACAATTACCCAAGAAGCATATATATACTCTGTGGTCAAAAGGAATGGGTAAATCTGTCAATTCAGTTTCTTCTCAGTTCCTCATTTTTGGTTCATCTCATTCTTGTACAAATTTGAGATTAAAAAAAAAATAGATTTCATGAATCTTTTAATGCCTTTTTTGCATCTTTCCTCAAACCATACAGTTTCTGTCTGCAGTTTTGACAAGTGCCCATGGTTTTTGCAAATAGTTTCTCCTAATCATGAGTCTGTAGTGCATATCTGTGTATATCTTTTCAGGAATGGGTGCATTTCCCTGCAGACCTTTCCTTCATATAGATTTGTTTTCCACTAGGCCAACTGTATTGCAAGAAGTAGAGAAGGGCAGCTGTTAAAGGAGAACTTAGTTTCCGTGGACTTCCAGTAAGATGGCAATGCATAGGGTTGCATGCTTGTGAGCACCTTCGGATAATTTAAAATTGTATACCATAAACATTGGGTTGGAATTTTTTAGTTGAAGCACTCAGCATTAGCACTAGTTTTGGTGTGTCTGTGCTAAGCTACGTTATTGCAGAAGTACTGTATGGTGTGCCGATAGCAAAGAATGTAGACTGAACGTGGGACTTCCAGCATTTTATTTTACCTAGTTTGGGTCAGTGTATTAGTTCAAGGATGCAAAGTACCTGTGATATTGAATTCCTGAGGAATTACATCCTGCAACTTCTCTTTCAGGAGGTCCAGGGCCACCAACATATAATGAGCAGCCTTCACATGCAGACGAGTTTTTCCAACGGGTTGTTTAAAGGAGACTAGGATATCTGAAGGGCGCACTGTCTTTTTCATTAGTTTTTCTTTTAACCTGGTGAATCAGAAAATAACTATATCAAGACCACCCAACAAAGGCTTCTCCTCCCACAAGGTGTATTCTTACAATGGCCCATCTGAGGGACGCTAACCTGAGAAGCAGAAGCTGCCCGATGTTAACCTAATGAAATCTAGGGCTGAACAAGGCTTCATAGCCCTAATACTTTACATTTTTTCATGTCATCATTAGTCCTTTGATTTTATTCTACTGCCTAAGATGGATGTTATCTTCCTCTTGCAAGGCGTCTGTGCCTTTAATGATGGGCAGCTAAGCAAATATTTCGTATGTATGTAGATATTTTTATTTCATTTATATACTGCCAAATCAACTCTGGACAATCACAATGAACAATAAAAACATCCACGGTACAAGAGCTATATTAAAACATGCGTGATAAAGATATGGAATAAAAATAGGAATAGCTGAAATATTTAATCAGTTTGTAATTGACAGAAATATCCATGATAGCCAGTTGAAACAAAATGACACATTGCCTGAATTTTTGTCTGAAATGCAGCTTTCACACAGAGAAGTCATCCAGCAAACCTCCATCAAATAGGTAGTCCCTGGGTTAAGAACGCCCGGTTTACAGGCGACCCACAACTAAGAACGGAGCCTTTTGTAGCAAAATTCAAGTTAAATGCACAATGCTTCAAGTTTATTACACAATACTACTTACACAGTATTATACAATACAAATTCTTGTATGTATGCATGGCTTACATCAGTGTTGTCCAAACTTGGCCACTTTAAGATGAGTGGACTTCAACTCCCAGAA